CTACGAACGTAGTTGCTTTCGAAAGTGGAGGTGCGTATTAACCGATGCTGTGTTTTACCGTCAGTGTCCCACGAAGACGAGAGTCCTACCGACAGCGAGTCCTAAATCAGAACTTCTAACTGGGCACGTCGCATTGTAAATAATTGGCTCTATAACACCTACAAGAGAGGAAACAACAGTAGAATGAAGATTGGAAAAATGAACCTTCCAGTCTAACACACGCATTTACCTACTGTTTCACATAATAGTAAAGAGATTTTTTCTGTTGATGAGAAATATCTATTTTTCTTCTTATGTTTTTGTATGTAAGCTGATAATGATGGTTCATAGAGGAAGGTAAATGGTGAGAAGAACCCAGGTTTGTTATCATAAGAATGTCGCCTTGATGCGCCTAAAGTATCTCCCGTAGAGTACGAATAGATCCGAGGAAATCTAATGCAGACCCACGAATCTTTGGGAATTCGGACTGTGCCCTGCACACGGTGGCTCTTGTTTGTCGTGTGTGAGAGTGTTTGGCTGCCGTGTTAAGAAAGGACCATTAAATCTGAATTTCAGTCAACCTGAAAGCCAGCACGTAAGCGCATCATGCTAAGCATAGAAATTGAAATGTCAATTTACGTGGATTTCTTTATAGCCACGAGTTTTAACATGTGGTGGCAGATTCAAGCGCGCCACATTAACAACAGGGAGGAATGGACTGATTTGGTCCATTCCATCTCGCCTCTTGCACGCGCAGGTCGACCATCCCGGCCTGTCATTTTGCTATTGAGTAAATCGGACGCTCGGTCGAAGCACAATTTCACGTTTCACCTCTGCTGTCTGCATATATCATCCCCGATGCACGTCCTGTTCCCTTGCTGGTCATTTGATTTCTCATGTTTTCTAGACATGAATATTTCCTTCGAAGTCGCTGCACGCCGCCTTCGGTCTAGCCGTGCAGGACGGTGGCACTGTGGCAGTCCGCCTGTCGTAAATCGTAATGTTCTCACGAACTAACGTGTTATATCTTACGAGCCCCTAGCCTTAAATGCAGCAAGTAAATCGGAGCAGTGAATAATTTAGAGATGTTTGAACGTTAAGAAAAACTGACAACTGAATGCCACAGCAGAGCACGCTAGCAAGGCGGGTTGTACAGGTGTGTCGTTTCTCGTCACATTCAAACAAGCAATGCGGTCAACGGAAATGTGACTAAATTGTCAAAGTTAAATTGGTCAGGTACCTCACCACACGCCAACTTGATTGTCACCGCTTCGTCTCGCCGTCCTCCTTTTCGCCCCACGCTTCCTGCCGATTCGATGTTGGACCCGCCCCAGGCTTGCCACTAAGATTACGAAATCTTGAAGATAAATCAACGCTCCTCCTCTCGCTGACTGGCTACAGACGGGCACGATCTAGATAAAGTGAAGGCGTACACACGTGCTGGAGGCAAAGAACCTCAGCAGGGGACACTGATGCACAAAACACGCCGAAGAGACCACCTGTAGCAACTGCAAATTGGGTCTTCAGTATGCTACGGATCTCAAGTTTTTCATGCCCTTTGCCTCTCCCCTTTAAACTCTTCCCAATTGCTTGAAAGCTTTTACAGCCAGGAGTACCCCAACTGGGATTGCCCTATCTCGACTGCGAATGGCCAAAGGTTCAGCATTTGTTTCTCACAAACGCCATATCTGTGTCAATGGAAGACTCTTTAATTGCGAAGTCAATATTTGCCACCCTGACACATTGGAATGGGAGATTCAGAGATGAACAGATCGTAATTTCGATGTCATCCGTTGAATTTCATTCACCAGAGCCCTTCCGTCAAGGAAGTATTGATGCTATTAGCCCTTCCTCTAAGCATTCTCCGTTTCTAGCCGCAGCGTAACACACCTCTCAAGGTAACATTGAGCAGCCACATATCACATCATATGCATTGACGATTTAGTCCTGCCTGCACTGTCCTTCATCATTAATTCATTTGATCGCGTGTCGTATTTTGATGTCATCTACAAACATGATTCCCCTGCAATTCAGTCCTGTCATGCAGCCGCTGACATGGATGAAGAACATCAGTGCATCAAGAACGAAGCTCCAAGATACCTCACTGACAACCCACTCTGATACTGATTTCGCACTGCCTAGGCACACCGAGTGTAATCGGTCGATCATGAAGTCCTCTATTCATTTCGGTAGGCGCACCTGCGTCTCAGATACTCAAGGCTTGTAAAGTAAGTGACGATGTGGATCACGAGCGTAAGCGGTTTTGCGATTGATGAAAAAACGCCGGCTCTTGTGTCTTCTAACGCGTGAGACCCCTCCTGCACTGAATCGAACGCATCGGTCGGTGGAACTGATTTAGTCGAAAACCGCGTTGAACACTGGTGATAGCGTCGTTGCCTTAAAGAAAAATTCATGGTATATTCTCTGGTGATTGGTTCCGCCACTTTGCGACAAATGCATTTTAGGTTCACCTGCCAATATCTTATGACAGTCGTTCTGCACCCACCCTTTTTCGAATGGAATATATTTTCGCTACATCCCAGTCGGCGGTAAGGATGCCTCTGTTGAAGAGCGATTAGCAAATACGTGAAATCGGTCTGAAGAATCTACAAAAAATCGCCTTGAGTACTTTTGTCTTTACAAGGAGTTTAAGATGTTACGCAAGATAAGCGTAATAATATCGTGGAGGTGCCTATTTGTGTTCGGCTCTTAAATTAGCAAAGGCTTCACACAAAATGATTATACACCTTGTGGTCTCAGATCTGACCCACTAGGATTTGATATACACATCGACAACTCGGTCGTTTCGTTTGTGTTCACCCATCTTGCACTTTCACTTACTGATTAGCATTTTGTCTGTCTGCACTTCCAAGTCCACCGTGTGCCCCACAGACTGCATTGTGGGAGCAGGGACGGTGACTTACGCAGGGGTTTATAATGCCAGTAGACTTGTGTAGCATCTACCTTCACTCTCTCCTCCTCCCCCGCCTGAGCCCGGTGTCAAGACCAAGTCAAGTAGACCGGAGACGGAGGAGGCCGCAGGTGGATGGCTCGGACGGATCCTCGCCTTGTCGCTCCACTCCGCACCCCCTGGTCACACAAAACTGACCAGGATTTGACCACAAAACAATGGGGTGGCGGCAGTGGTCCAGTTGAGCGACGAATGCCGACAAAAGGGACCGCTAGCGCACCCCACAAATTTTAGCATTTGAACGGCGTGTCTCTCACTTGCGTGAGAGGGCCGTGGTACGTGCTGTTTCAGCCCCTCCTCAACCCACCAGTCCGCCACTCCTCACAAAACACACACAACGGGACAATCTGCGTGGACCGAGTGGGGGCATCAATCAGCAACCTTCCTATCCACGACGCTTGATGTTTCGGGATAGTCTCAGACTCAAGTCGCCCGTGCAGCCGATGCCGCATGGGGACCGAGTCGAGATGCACACTTCCCAAATGCGTGGGAGATGGCAGTTGGGTGCTTGCAGTGTGTGGGTGTTGATGTGTGGTTGTGGTGGTCGTGGTCGTGGTCGTGGTGGTGGAGGCAGGGAGGGCGGGTGTTATGGTGTGGTATAGCCGGCGGTTGTCTACCGCAGGTCGTCGTGGATGCGCATGTGGCCGAGTAGACCCATGCGATGCGTGAATGTGCGAGGGCAATGTGGACAGTGGAGGCGAGCTGCATCGGCAACCCGTATTTTCAGCTGCGTTTGCCTTTTTCGAGTTAATTGCCATTCAGTGGCTCCAAAGCAAATTCGCACAAACTTACTTCTCTCAACAAGGAGGTTCCGACTGCTCACAGAACATTTCACCGGAGTTGGATTGAGTATATGCACTTTTAGAACAGAAAAGTAGCAGTCGAGGATAGTGAACTAGACGAATACTTATGCGATCACTTCTTAGAAGTCTCATAATTAGGGACTTTTACAGCAAAGATAATCCGCCGCTTAGATACAAGACTGTGTGATGTAGCAAAAAATCTTGGGCACTCTTTCTGTGATTTGGCATTTACTTGATGCCGATTGTTCAACCGTATCAATAGGCCTCGTCCTCCGAGTGTTCCTTTGAGTGAGTCTAACAACAGTGAACTGTGTGTGAATTAGCTTGTAGTAGGACGGACTTGTGAAGCAACTACCGCACTCCCACCTCCTTGAATAACGTGGGACCGATGGATAGACAATGGCCAGTCAACCAGGCCTGAATCTGCAATGGGTTATCAAGCAAGAAAATTCAGGTCCTATCTCAGGAAAAGATATTTGAGCCAACTGTCGACGATATCTGCATGGTAGGAGGAAGCTAGGGACTGGTGCAATGTACGACGGCACTCCTGGGGTACATCGTCAATGAACACTTATCGATGGCGACTATCCTCATTTGGTATTACGGTGTCACAGTTAAGTTCTCGTGTGGATGCTGTCAGTGCCTGTTGATTAGTTTGATGGGGTGTAGGGTTGTCAGCGGTAGGTTCACGTGACGGTCGTAGTGGTCGCTCATTTGCTTGCAGGTGAGACTACGCCTAGCGTCCATTTGCTGTCACCCAACTCTCACCTGCTATTCCACGTAGCTGGGCTCTTCTCAGCGGCCACACCCCGGTCAACCGCCTCAACCGGCGAGCTAAACCAGGTGAGGGCGGCTAATCCCGGTGCGCGTTGTGCCACGTGCACAGGGTACTGCGGACTCCTGTAGACGGTTGGTCGGATGGCACACCGTGTCGGCACCATCGTGAAGAGGCTCCGTCTGGTACGCCGCTGGTCAGCCGGTGGTATGGTCATCGAATCGGCATCGCTGACACGCGCCCATCTGGTGCACCGTAGGAGACCGCGGGCTTACGGCAATGTCGTAAGCCATTGGCAAATTCGAGTCGTTCTTCCACTGCCAAGAAAATCTCGTGACCCACAGTGTAGTTCGGCTGCGCCGGCACATCAAGCAGCCCTATTTACGGACGGACACTGCTGCTCTTCGGAGGGGACCTGGGAAAGCTGGCCTAAAAATTGCTGGGGAACCACGTCGACTGCTGGCTGACCGTTGTCGCAGACGTAAAACGCACGGTCGAAACAACCAAAATCGAAATATCAACAACAACACTACTCACTCTCCTCATTCTACCTCTTCTTCCTTTTCCAGTCTATACTTCTGCCTATTCTTCTCGTTCGCCATCTTCTTCTCCACCTCCTTCACGCCGACCCACTCGTGGCCAGACTGGCAGGGTGAGTCCGCTCAATCTGTCAGCCTGGAATGTTCGTTCCCTTTCAGACAATCAGAAGCCCAACCGACCGAAACGGAGGACGGCGCTAGTGGCCCGGGAACTGACGCGCTACAAGGTGGACATCGCCGCACTCAGCAAGACTTGATTCTCCGAACAAGATCAATTGGAGGAGGTGGGTGTCGGTAGCACCTTCTTCTTGAGCGGTCGCCCCAGGGCAGAGCGACGAGACGCGGGCGTCGCCTTCGCCATTCGGAACGACATCGTAGGACGACTGCCCTGTCTGCCGCAGGGCATCAACGATCGCCTGATGAGCCTACGCCTGCCTCTCCGAGGTGGGGGCAAATTCGCCACTATCATCAGCGCCTACGCTCCGACGATGACGAACCCCGACGCCGTCAGAGACAAATTCTACGAGGACCTGCACGCCCTCTTGGCGACTATTTCGAAGTCGGACAAGTTGACTGTCCTTGGTGACTTCAACGCCCGCGTCGGCACAGACCATACTGCCTGGAGGGGAGTGCTGGGTTCCCATGGTCTCCGCGGCTCAAACGACAATGTCCTGCTGCTCCTCCGCACCTGCGCAGAACACCGCCTCATCCTGACTACCACGTTCTTCTGTGTGTCGGAGCGAGAGCAGGCCACCTGGAGGCATCCTCGGTCGCGTCAGTGGCACCTGCTGGAATATGTCCTCGTCCGGAGGCGAGATCAGCGGAACGTGCTGGTGACAAAGGCGATTGCGGGCGCTGACGGGTGTACCCACCATCGCCTCGTCATCTCGAAGATGCGTATTCGCTTACAGCCTCGTAGGAGGTCACAACGAAAGCGACCCCCAGGTAAGCTGAATGTTGTCTTGTTGTATTTGCCCGCTCACCATCTTTATTTCAGCAATGAGCTAGCTCAAAGGCTAGACAACCTTCCTATCGCTGTCGAGAACGCCTCCGTGTAGAACCGCTGGTGTCAACTGCGAGACTTGGTCCAGTCTACGGCGCTCGCCATCCTCGGTCGCGCTCCCCGCCAACACCAGGACTGGTTCGACGACAACGACGCCGCCATCAGAAATCTGCTTGCTGAGAAGAACCGCCTACACAAAGCATACGTAGACCACCCCACTGACGACAACAAAGCTGCTTTTTACCGCAGTCGCCGCCACCTTCAGCAACGACTGCACGAGATGCAGAACGCGTAGACTGCTCGCAAAGCTGAGGAGATCCAGGGGTACGCGGACCGAAACGAATGGAAGAACTTCTTCTCGGCAATCAAACCTGTCTACGGTCCGCCGACGAAGGGCACTGATCCTCTCCTCAGCGCCGACGACAGAACCCTCCTGATTGAGAAGACACAAATTCTGCAGAGATGGGCCGAGCATTTCCGAGGCGTCCCCCATCGCCCTTCCGTCATCTCCGACGCCGCCATCGAGCGTTTGCCGCAAGTGGAGACCAAAGTTGCCTCGATCTCCCGCCATCTCTCCAGGAGACCATCAGGGCCCTGCAGCAGCTCGCTAGCGGGAAAGCCCCCGGATGGGACACAATCCCTGCTGAGGTCTACACGCACGGAGGTCCCCAACTGATGGATCACCTGACTGCGCTCTTCCAGGAGATGTGGCGTCAAGGTGAAGTCCAGCAAGATTTCAGAGACGCAACTGTCGTGCCTCTCTACAAGCGAAAAGGGAATCGCCATGTCTGCGACAATCACCGCTGAACATCGCCGGGAAGATTTCGCCCGCATCCTTCACAACCGCCTCAATAATCATCTGGTACAGGGTCTAGTGCCGGAAAGCTAAGGCGGCTTCCGTCGTCATCGCGGGACCACGGATATGATCTTTTCCGCATGTCAACTTCAGGAGAAGTGTCAGGAGATGCGGACCCACCTGTACTCTACCTTCGTGGACCTGACGAAAGCCTTCGACACTGTGAATCGTGAAGGACTGTGGAAGATCATGCAGAAATTCGGCTGTCCGGAGCGATTCACTCAGATGGTGCGTCAGCTGCACGACGGTATGATGGCGCGAGTCACAGACAACGGAGCTGTCTCAGAGGCATTCGCAGTGACCAATGGAGTGAAGCAGAGCTGCGTACTGGCGCCTACCTTCTTCAATCTTATGTTCTCTGCCATGCTGATGGACGCCTACCGCGACGAACGCCCCGGCATCCGCATCGCCTACAGGACGGACGGCCATCTTCTGAATCAACGGCGGATGCACTTCCAATCGCGCGTATCCACAACCACCGTTCACGAACTTCTCTTCGCCGATGACTGCGCTCTGAACACAATCTCGGAAGAGGAGATGCAACGGTGCATGGACCTGTTCTCCGCCGCCTGAGAACTTCTGTCTGGTCATTAACACGCAGAAGACGATAGTGATGCATCAACCGCCACCCTACTCAGTCACAGCCCCCAACGCGCCGCCGTAAATTAGCGTGAACGGATCCCAACTGCAAGTGGTGGCGAACTTCCCGTACCTGGGCAGCACCCTCTCCCTTAACACCAAAATCGATGACGAAGTCGCTCGCAGGATCTCGAAAGCCAGTCAAGCCTTCGGTCGCCTCCAAAGCACAGTTTGGAATCGCCACGGTCTTCAACTGAGCCCGAAGCTAAAGATGTACAAGGCCGTCATCCTGCCGACACTACTGTATGAAGCGGAGACTTGAACGGTGTACGCACAGCAGGCACGCCGTCTGAACCACTTCCACCTCAGTTGTCTTCGTCACATCCTGAGGCTGAACTGGAGGGATCGAATCCCCGACACTGATGTGCTGGAACGAACGGGAATCCTCAGCATCTACGCCATACTGAGGCAAATGCAGCTGCGCTGGAGCGGCCACCTGGTGCGCATGGACGACGAGCGACTACCAAAACGACTCTTCTACGGAGGCGTCGCGACGGGTTCTCGCCGTCAAGGAGGCCAGACTCGTCGTTACAAGGATACTCTGAAGTCCTACCTGAAACGCCTGCAAATCAACCCCACCAACTGTGAGGAGCTCGCACTCGATCGACCGACCTGGAGGAGGACAGTGAAGACAGGCGCTGCGATCTACGAAGCCAACCGCATCGCTGCCGCCAAGGCGAAACGCGAAGCCCGCAAATCACAACTTCGCCCAGTACGCAACGCCGCCGCACAACCACTTCCAACTTGTCCTCGATGTCAACGGACATTCAGGGCTCGAATCGGACTTGTTGGCCATCTTTGGATTAACAGCGCCTCTCAAACTGCACCAACCATCGTCCCCCCGCCCGCCTCTTCCGCCTCCTCTCCGCCGCCAACTAACTCTGACAATTCTTCTGACCCACCACTTCCATCCTCCTCCTCCTCCTCCTCCTTCTTCTCCTTCTCCTTCTCCTCCTCCTCCTCTTCCTCCTCCTCCTCCTTCTCCTCCTCCTCCTCCTCGCCCACTGCTCCAACGACGGCCGCTCAGGCGACTGTCCAGCGCGCAACAACCGATGCTACCACCACCTCCCCGACTCCAGCGATGAGGATCAGGACTACACCTGCCCTCACTGCAACCGCACGTTCACCTCACACATCGGCCTGGTCGATCACTTGTGAATCCATCGCACAGAGACCGGCGAACCAGTGCCTGAAGCACCAACCTACACCCGCCGCACTCGCCTCCACTGCCCACACTGCCCTCACACCTTCAGGCATCGCATGGGCCTTTTCGGCCACATGCGCATCCACGAGAGCGGTCTTTACCGCACTCCCGACACACCCACCCATCCAACACCTCCACCGTGCGCACCCCCACCCTCGCTCCATCCGTCTGCGTTACCACCACCACCACCGCCTCCTCTGTAGCTGACACTGACACCGCCGACTTCTCATGACCATATTGCCCACGCACCTTCACCTCACGCATCGGCCTGGTCGGTCACTTGCGAATCCATCGCACAGAGACTGGCGAACCAGTGCCTGGAGCACCCATCTATACCCACCAAGCTCGTCTCAACTGCCCACACTGTCCTCGAACATTCAGGCATCGCATGGGCCTATTCGGCCACATGCGCATCCACGACAACCTGCAGTAGACAACCGCCGGTCACACCACACATTCATTCACTCCCTACCTCCTCCACCACCACCGGCACCCCACCAGAAATCACCACGCACACACCTCATGCACCCAACTGCCACCTCCCACGCAAGTGGGAAGTCCGCGTCTCGACTCGGTCCCCATGCGGCTTCGGCTGCACGGGTGACTCGAGTCCGAGACTATCCCGACACGTCAAGCGTCGTGGATAGGGTGTTGCTGATTGACGCCCGCTCTCGGTTCACGCAGTTCGTCGCGTTGTGTGTGTGTGTTTAGTGGAGTGGCGGACTGGTGGGCTAGAGACGGGTTGAAATAGCACCTTCCACGGCACTTTCACGCAAGTGAGAGACAAGCCGTTCAACACCCGTTGTGTGAAATCCGGGTGTTGTGTGTATGGGGGGCCAGGTCGTGCACGTGGCGCGCGCAGTCATGGTCAGTCGACCATGACAGCCACCGCGCCCATTCCCCATTCCAGTCTGCTGACCGGCTCGGACAGCGGCTGGGGTGTGGAAGTGGGAAGGGAGAGTGAGGTCGTCGACTCAGCGCACTTTCTCCTCACTATAAACAATCTGACGCGCTTGAAGCCATCACGGTGAGCTAAAAGCCGTGGCTTGGAAGGTTGCCAACTGACGGGATATCTTGTACCTCCTGCTGGACCAAAGGTCTGAGAGTTAGGCTGCAATGGCTCCTTTTTGATGTGGCCTTTATGGCACTCCCATCACACATGCATTCAAACTTTATTAACCATATTTTTCACAAACTGACATTTCTACGCATCGAAAACCATCAAGGCAGGATCAGTAGGGGTACAGCCTAGCAATTGATGGACTATATACGAAGTGGATTTATTGATTACAGGAGTGCCCGCTCTCCAGGAAGAAAGGATGGAGAAGACAAGAGCGATACCACTGCGCTTCAATGTCAAGGGCAAGTGAAGCCATCAGTGACACGGTACTTTCAACTTGTGGAATTCCCCGAGGCATAATTTAATAAGGCTTTCAAGCTTCTATGCTATTTATTAGGAAACATATTTCGAAACTATTTGTAAGCTTACGCTATTCAAAGTAAGTCGCGTCCATCAAATGTCTGTTTTCTCAGCTCTGTTCAGCAAAGCGCGCAGCAGATTCAGTTGCTTTAAACACGTTCGACAAAGTTCCAGGAGAATGGCATCAGTGGGTTCCGCAGCAACATAGGAACGGGGCTCTGACGGCCATGGAATGATTACGAAAAACGACATTTCTTCGTATTCTCCCTTTCATTGTCCCTGCCGCTGCTGCTGCCGCTGCTGCCGCCGCTGATGTTGATGATGATGCTGATGACGGTGATTTCGATCCTGAGGTTGCTGAGGATGCTGTTGTTGATGTTGCAGTTGCTGTTGATAAGGATGCTCTCCGTGGACATTTTTCTAGGAGATGAACACCTATCGGGAGGGTTTATAAGTGATTAGCTCTGGGGAAGGAAATTCCTGAAGTTATGACAGATGCCTGATTAGTCGAATAATATGGCCCCTAATGATGGAACACGGCTTGCCTACTCAGTTCAACTCCCTTTTGCGACCGGATGCCCTATCTCCTTACCTTCTGCCGCCCGATTTGCTAGAGTGGAGAATGTCTCCAGCAGCTTCTCCATCATGCCGATTATTTGAAAAGTGCCAATTTGCAAGTGTGGCAGGCAAGTAGGCTTTTGGTTCTAACGGCGTCTTGCATCCATCGTCGACTTCCTTCCTTCTGGTCTCAATCGTTATAGGAACAAATGATCCGTCTTTGTAGAAGTAATAGCAGTAATCCCTTCTTAACCTCGCCTCATCCGTTCCAACCCCTCTCTTTGATTCTTCTTCGTTACTCTGGTTATTCTCCCCACTTGTGTTGACAAGACATTTTCCTTCCTCTTTCCATTTCAGTCGTCTGTGGGTAGAAAAAGTTAGACCATTTAGCCATTAGAGTTCGACTTTCATCCTTCTGCAGAATCTGACATGCAAAACAGTAGACATATTGGAAAGCGCAATCCCACGTTAACCGAGATCGTGCTTACCTTGAGTGCCCTACGATTGCCACATTTCTCTGGAGAACAGGAACGGGAACTACGTTTGCAGTTGAAACAGTTGCATTGTAAGTAACTGGCCCTATAGTTCCTAAAAAAGCAAAAGACGGCAGCAGAAGGATGATTTGCAAAACATTACCATTCCAGCATTACACTCGCACACACTTACCAACTATTTCACTTAGCAGGACAGAACACTCCTCTGTTGCCGTAACATACTTATTCCTCTTTTTACGACTTTAATACGCTTTTATTAGTAGAATTAGAATGCTGCACAACAACATATGAATCATTCTCAGGTGAGTGCCTGGAGCTGAATGGTCAACACTGTGGAAGTAATCGATATTTGGGTCTCCTTTGAACTATCCATCTTCGACCAATCAGCACAGCGGTCTCAGAGACGCACTTATCCTGCGCGAGATATGGACTGACAGCCTGATTTAAGCCGTCAACTGTGCATATCTAATCCCCGGTTAAAATGATATAAAGGACATTGTTGGCAGCTATATAAGAAGAAAGGCGGAGGGGCCTATCAGGATACACCGAGGGACAGCACTAAGAATGGGGTCCTCATTTGAAGATAAAGACTCCAGTGTTAATGAATAAACTGCAGCCTCTGAAATGACGCTGGTCAGTGCCACAAGTAAGGCACGCCATGCATGTGCACCGTCCTAAAGGTCGTATCTTAGCCTACTCGTCGTAATGAACGCAGTATGTCTGAGGGAAAATCGTTCCTTCGAATTGAACTTTTCTTGGGAGGTTTTGTCTGTTGTATGTTTAGACCACGAGTGTGTTTCCATGAAAAGTTTATTCAGGTAAGTTGATGACGAACGTAATTACATAGTCATAACCTGCGATGACTCCTCAAAAGAAAGTCTGAGAAAGCGACTTCTTGCGCTTAAGTAACTGAGGTTTCCTTGTACAGACGAAATGTCGATAAAAGTACTAAGACGATTGTTTGCAAATTCTCCAGACCGATTCCACGTATTTTTCAACCGTTCTTCAATCGAGGCATCCTGGCCACTGACTGGAATGTGACGAAAATACATCTTATTGGAAAAGGGGCGGTTACAGATCGATTGCCATGAGCTATAGGCAGGTGAACCTAATATGCATTTCTTGCAAAGTTGTGTAACCAATCACCAGAGAAAATACCATGAATTTCCTTGAAGAGAAACGACACTCTTAAAGGTGTTTAACACGGTGTTCGCCGAAGTCAGTGCGCTGTATTCAGTGCATACGGGATCTCATGAGTTGGAAGACACAAGAGCCGGCGTTTTTTCATCAATCGCTAAAAACCTTTACGCTCGTATTCCACATCGTCGCTTACTTTACAAGCCTTGAGTATCTGAGACTCAGGGGCGCCTACCGAAATGGTTAGAGGACTTCATGATCGACCGCTTACACTCCGTGTGCCTAGGCAGTGAGAAATCAGTATCAGAGCTGGTTGACAGTGAGGTATCTTGGAGCTTCGTTTTTGGAGTACTGATGTTCTTCATCTATGTCAGCGGCTGCATGAAAGGACTGGGTTGCAGGGGGAATCATGTTTGTAGATGACATCTAAATATGACACGCGACCAAATGAAACAATGATAAAGAGCCCTACAGGAAAAACTTAAACGCCAATGCTCAGTGTTACCTTGAGAGGTGTGTTACTCTGCAGCTCGAAACGGAGAATGCTTGGACGAAGTGATAATAGCATCAATACTTCCTTGACGGAAGGGCTCTGGCGACTAAAATTCAACGGATGACCTCGAAATTACGGTCTATTCATCTCTAAATCTCCCATTCCAATGTGTCAGGGCGGAAAAAAATTGACTTCGAAATTAAAGGGCCATCCGTCGACATAGATATGGAGTTTGTGAGAAACAAATGCTGAACCTTTGGCCATTCACAGCCGAGATAGGACAATCCCAGTTGGGGTACTCCTAGCTGTAAACGATTTTAAGCAATTGGGAAGAGTTTAAGGGGAAGAGGCAAATGGCATGAAGAACTTGAGCTCCGTAGCATACTGAAGACCCAATTTGCAGTTGCTACAGGTGGTCTCTTCGGCGTGTTTTGTGCATCAGTGTCCCCTGCTGAGGTTCTTTGTCTCCAGCACGTGTGTACGCCTTCACTTTATTTAGATCGTGCCCGTCTGTAGCCAGTCAGCGAGAGGAGGAGCGTTGATTTATTTTCAAGATTTCGTAATCTTAGTGGCAAGCCTGGCGCGGGTCCAACATCGAATCGGCAGGAAGCGAGGGGCGAAAAGGAGGACGGCGAGACGAAGCGGTGACAATCAAGTTGGCGGACTGCCACAGTGCCCCCGTCCTGCCCGGCCAGAGCTAAGGTGGTGTGCAGCGACTTCGAAGGAAATACTCATGTCTAGAAAACATAAGAAATCAAATGTCCAGCAAGGGAACATGACGTCCATCGGGGATGATATATGCAGACGGCAGAGATGAAACGTGAAATTGTGCTTCGACCGAGCGCTGGAGGTTGATGATGATGTCGCAGATGGAGGTAGTGGAGGTGGAGGCAAAGAAAGCTTACGAGACGAGGGGATAGGAGTAGAGGAGGTGCAGAAGCATAGGTTAGGAAAATACAGGATTCATGCGTTGGAATGTCCCGGACAGCAGCCCTAGGACGGACTACGCGCACAACTTCCACCCGAGTTTCGCCTTTGAAGCGAAACGTCCTCGTCCCTCGAAAGACAACCCGCAGGGCGACACAGCACGGTAATTTCAGTGAAC